AAAGAAAAGAAAAAAAAAAAAAAAAGAAGACCAGACCTCTTTAGCGGTTACGGCAAAGGTACTTGTGAAGGCTGCTGAGCAGTGCAGCAGTTGGGAATGCCTGGGTTTTGTCAGCCCCAAACCTGGCTCCAGAGGCATGGAGGAGACCCTGGAGGGGTGGCAGAGAAGGGAGTGCCACCTGTGCTAGGGGCTTGACACAGGTTTCTGCACCTTAATGTCTTCATCTGGAGAGTCACGGTGGGTCTAGGGGGACACCAGGGCCAAATGTCACCACGGTCAGTGCTCTTGGTTCTAGAAATGGTCAGCTGGGAAGACCTGGAGAATAGGGGCAAAGGGGGTGAACCCCAGTCCTTCTGGCCCCAGCAGGGGTAGGATCACACCTCCTACCTCATCCCTGAAATCCCTGGAGGAACTCCAAGGCAGTCCAACCTGGAAAACCACAGCTAGTCAGAGCTGCCCTCTGGAGCCCCTCCAGCAGCCATACAGGTTTGATTTTTAACTCCTGCAGTCACCTTGGGTTTGTTTGATCCTGCAGGGGGTCCTTGTGCAGTGGGGAGAGAACATGGGCACCCAGGATGGCAGGGCAGCTGTCCCCATGATCCTGAGCCACTGGGCAGCTTGGAGGGGATTAATCCCTGTGGCCAAAGGGGCTGCCCTGCTGCAAGATGCTTCTGTTCATGTGAAGTAAAGGATTTCTTAAAACTTTGAGTGAAAATACTAATTTTAATAAAACAAGTTTATATAAAGGGAGATTAACTTCCTCTGCTTGTGTATCATTGGTGCTTTGAAAACAATACAGGACATGAAGTGATATGGTATGATAAAATATAATTTCCTCCCATGAACCACAGTGAAGAGACCTTTCCAGGTCCGTTCTACACCGGTGGGGTGGGTTAGAATCAAACTGCATTATCTGGAGCAGTTGCTGCAGTTACACAGTGACTGGATTATGAGCGCTTATGCCGAAGGCAAAGCAGATGATCACAGCCCTTGGATTTTTAGATATGTCAGAAGCTGCATTAACCTATAATACTTCTGAAATAAATCACTTAGTACCACCCTAGCAAAATTATATAGCTCATTTCATAGGAAAAAATTCAAGTCACAATGAATGAAAAACACAGAGAGGGAAGTGATTTAAAGGCAACACCTTGCTAATGACAAGAACATTTCTTTGACGAGTAAGGTTGTAAAGGAGTGGTCTGCAGTACAACTGCATCTTTCATGAAGCATCAAATATGCTGGAAAATAAACCAAATCTTCCATGCTGACCTGCCCTATTACAATGATATTCTGGAAAATTTTCCAAGACACACAAACATGCACGTGTGTGGTTGCGTGGGCAGCTGGCCCACATCCCCCACGCAAGGACCAGGAGGTTTGTCCCTGCCTGGAGTCTCCTGGAGCCTCTGCACTGCCTTCAGGGGCACAGGGCTGGGAGCCCACCCTGCAGCAGGGAGGGCAGAGCTGGGGCAGCACCCACCACCCCAGGGGATGGGGCACAGCTGCACCTGAGACACTGCACTGGTGCAGGATTTCTGTTAAAATAATGTGCAGAACATTTGTTTTCTTAGGAGCACTCTTTTTTCCGCAGTCACTCATTTAAATGGATTCCACTGTGCTTGTTTTATGCCTTTCTTTATTCCAGCAGAGACTAAATTAAGCTTTGAAGTTTAGTGAGAAATTCTAATGGCATTCAACTTCAATGCTATTGCATGAATCCTGGGGAATTTAAAGAAAGGAGGAGAGCAACAGAAAAGAAACCACTCTTTTCTTGCTTTCTACAGCCTGATCCTGAAATGGCTGACTTTGAAAATAACCGTAGTGCCTCACTTTATGCATTATTCATATATACTGAAGCATGTAAACACAGTTTTCAAAGGTTAAAATTTAACTCTTTTCCTGTACAGGTTACAATTATTTAATATTTTGACACGGCAACTTACATCATTAATATCAAGCAGCACATAGGGGGAAAAAGTGACCTAAAACAAGCATGAACTTTTCTCATTAGTATGGAACATCGACATATTAGCCAGAAAACAGTCAGACTACAAGTATGCATAAGGTCTTCCAAATAGGAGGGAAGAATTAAGCATTTTAATTTGTATAAAACTGTAGCTGCCACTTTGCCATTGACAAAGAATGAGGTCTATCAAAATGTCTATTTGCAAGGAATTTCTTGGCATGGTAACAGCCTTGGGGGATCAAATAGTGGTATTATTCCAGTTTTCAGGGTAATAATGACCATGTAGTCAGAAATGTAAGATAAATTAATGTGTATTAGATTATTACAATAATACATAGGATGCACCTAGAGTGTACCTTACACACTGTGTGGGCTATTTAAGCCTGTGCCCTCCCCACAGCAGAACTTTTGTATAGCTGTGAGCCACAGGACAGTCCAGAGATGCAAATTCTGTGCTTTTTGGGCAGTGCCAAAGATATCATTTCACCCAGCACCGTCATGACTAAATTTCCTGGCTTCAGGATGAAGCAGGCCTGGGTTTTAAGCAAGTGTTCACTTCCTGTAATGTTTTCAGAAAGGGAGAGACAACAACTTCTGCCTGTGACAACTTCTTCCCAGCTACAAACGGGATTAATCCTAATTGCCAGGGACAGAAATCCTGTTAGGCTATCCAGCCTGGCTCTTTGGTAACACAGGATTCTCCCCCGGGGTTCTAGGTAATTATCTATTGCTTTGTTTAGTCTGTCTTCCAGTTCTGTGTTGATGCCCATACCTAGTACCTGAGCACCTCTCCAGTTATTTACATTGCTGAGGAAGATCAATACATTTCATGGGCTACTCAGTTCTCCATTCAGGTCACTCAAGGACCAACTCTTAGATGCCAACAAGAGCACCATTCATACTCTTTCTGCTCTGTCAAAAACTGCCTATGAAAAAAAGGCCATGTTCAAAGTGTCCCAAATTAAGAAAATAAACTTCAAAAAAACAAACAAGAAAAACTGCACCTGCCAGAGCAAGTGCATTGAAAAAGACTTGGTTTAATTCAGACTACCTCAGCTTTACAAACCCAGTTCATGGTTGGTTGTTTTTGAGTGACTGAAGGTAAACCAACATCATTCCTGGGCCTGTTTTGTTCCTCAGACTATTTACATTTATGCACACACAAATTTGCTCTTCAGCTCTCTTATGTGGCAGCAATATGGGAGAATAAAAATGGTAAATAAATAGAATCTTCCAATTTCTTCTGGGTCACGAAACAAAATCTTCTGCTCACATCTACAGCAGCATCAAAATTAAGTTCAGAGCTTTTGTAAACATAGAAGTTTGTTACAAACGCTTAATCCACTTCTACCCACTCTCCATGTAATGAGGCACAACAAAATTATTTTCAATGTACTTTCTGCATTATTTCACCAGGGATTGTTAATGATGTTTAATTTGCTATTGCTGCAAATATATATCTAATTATAATTAGACAGGAAAATGCAAACCATGCATTGACTGTCATTCTCCAGAGCTTTGTAAGGAAGTCTTGTTTTACAGAACATCCTTTACCCAGGAGTGGCTCACTTCCCTCAAGTCAGAAAAGTTGAAATCCTTAATTTTAATCACTCACTACAAGACATATGCTACGTGTAAATACATCGAAATTGAAAATTGCTAAAGCACTAGCATATATGCAAAATACCGTTAATCAGAACAATGAAGAGGGGAACTTCCAAAACAACTAGTTTCCACAGCATTTTACAAAAACTCATATTGTTATTTGTAAATTGCTTTCAAAAATAAAAGCAGGTCTTCATCCCCAGTGTGGAGAAATAAAAGCTACATCCATTTCTGGTCAATCCTGCCGATTTTATCTGTACTAGGAGCACAATAAAACTATTTTTATAAAAAGACCAGAATGAAAAGTAATTAACTTTTATTTATTAACTTAAACTTTTATTGAACTAATCTAAGAATTAATTAAAATAAAGATTTGCAGTCAGTTGTGAGCATCAACAAATGAACACAACATTATTCTAATAATGGCTTATTATATTATTTCTCTGCTGGAATGCAATATTGATTGGAAATCCTTGGGACGGAACAAATTTATTATTTGTGCAAATTTAACAACTGTTTACTTACAGATGCAAATGCTTATTGTTTAATTTGAAATAAGTCTATAGGAAAGTTCCAGATGCTGGCAAAGAAGGCCCAGTGAATCCACTGATTCTAAGCATTTACACCTGAGATTAATTAACCTGGGTCAGTTTCTCACTGTGCTCAGGTGTGACTCAGTCCAGCCTCTCCCAGAGCCCACTGCCTGAACCTGGCTTCTATGGCTGGTGCTTCAGCAGATACTTCAGCCCCGGGAATCAGGTGTGCTGGGAAGCAGGGCTGGCACATCCCCCTGGACTCCCATGCTCCTCAGGCTCCCGCATCCCCCTGGGCTCCCGCATCCCCCTGGGCTCCAGCATCCCCCTGGGCTCCAGCATCCCCCGGCTCCAGCATCCCCCTGGGCTCCAGCATCCCCCAGCTCCCTCCCCTGCACAGCACCAGACCCAGGTGAAGCAGCCTGAAGCAGACCCAGGCCTTGCTGGGATGTTGGAACACCCACCTCTAGTGTTCCACATTTAACGAGAGTCACCAACAGTCCGCCCCACACAAACATCAAGCCCCAGCTCTGCCCGCAGCCCTCCTTCGGGAAACTCCTGCCGAATTGCCGGTGACCGCAGGAGAACCTTCCAGGCAGAAGTGCTCAGGCAGCGTTTGACTCGCGGCCACAGCCAGGCAGGACGTGGGAGGGAAGCAGTGGAGGGAAATCCCTTGCCTGTAACGTGTCATTGCTTTGGCAGCACTTTGCTTACCCTGCTAGGGAGCTATCATCTCCGTGACACCCCAGGGATCCCTGAACGGGCAGCCAGCATTAGATCTTAATCAAAAATCTCCGCAGGCCTGAAAGGGGAGAGGTGTGTTCTGTCTCTGGGACTGCATCTCACAAGCCATGGTACAGTAT